ACACATCTAGATATCTAAAGTAAGGAACTAGAATCTACTTAAAGTATCTGTACATAATCTATAAAGTTAACACATCTAGATGTCTAAAGTAAGGAACTAGAATCTACTTAAAGTCTCTGTACATAATCTATAAAGTTAACACATATAGATATCTAAAGTAAGGGACTAGAATCTACTTAAAGTCTCTGTACATAATTTATAAAGTTAACACATCTAGATATCTAAAGTAAGGAACTAGAATCTATTTAAAGTATCTGTGCATAATTTATAAAGTTAACACATCTAGATATCTAAAGTAAGGAACTAGAATCTACTTAAAGTCTCTGTACATAATTCATAAAGTTAACACATCTAGATATATAAAGTAAGGGACTAGAATCTACTTAAAGTATCTGTACATAATTTATAAAGTTAACACATCTAGATATCTAGAGTAAGGAACTAGAATCTACTTAAATTATCTGTACATAATCTATAAAGTTAACACATCTAGATATCTAAAGTAAGGAACTAGAATCTACTTAAAGTCTCTGTACATAATCTATAAAGTTAACACATCTAGATATCTAAAGTAAGGAACTAGAATCTACTTAAAGTATCTGTACATAATTTATAAAGTTAACACATCTAGATATCTAAAGTAAGGAACTGGAATTTACTTAAAGTCTCTGTACATAATTTATAAAGTTAACACATCTTGATATCTAAAATAAGGAACTAGAATCTACTTAAAGTAAGGAACTAGAATTTACTTAAAGTCTCTGTACATAATTTATAAAGTTAACACATCTAGATATCTTAAGTAAGGGACTAGAATCTACTTAAAGTATCTGTACATAATTTATAAAGTTAACACATCTAGATATCTAAAGTAAGGAACTAGAATATATCCTACATTGTTAAAATAAAACACATTTGTTGTGAGTGTTACTCCTTTAACTCCTGAGTCATGAATGTAATTATGTTAAAGTAACCATAGATTTATGACAGCTGAGTTGTCATGACTTAAATAATGATTGTCGACGTATTATGTTTTCATTGCCAACATTTTTTTACTTCCTTCTAGGTGTGGTTCCAAAACCGACGAATGAAAGACAAACGCCAGAGAATGGCTCTCGCTTGGCCGTATGCTGATCCTCATTTCGCCGCCTACATGCTGAACGCGGCAGCGGCGGCTTCGGCAGGAGGTTATCCTTATGCTCTTACGGGAGGCGCGATGCCGTTTAGCTACTACAGCTCGTTGCCGCCTCTTGGCAGGTATCACCCTTACGGCTTACCGGTTCGGCCGCAGTCCACGTTCTTATCTCCTCCCTACCTTCGTCCAACACTAGGGGTTGGCGCGGACTCGGTGGCTCTAGCCTCTGGTGCGGGTGGTCCTACAAATGCTGTAACCCCTACCACCCTCTCCAGTCCTCTTAGTGGTCATTTTCCAGCCTGCGGACCGCCCCTACCCGGTGCAACAGACCCTTGCCGATGTCACTTGTTTACCTACCCTGGAATCACCTCAGGCACTGCAAGTTCCGTGCAGGGGGCAATAGGATGCCCCTCTCAGACCCCAACAGACGCGTCCTCTCGACCGAGCCTATTCCAGCCGTACAAAGCGGACGTTGAAAGAGTGTAAGTTCCAGAAAAAGTGAATTTAGTCGAGAAAAACTGTGATGAATTAAAACCGAAATACTCTCGAATCGGACAGTAACCGAAATACTCTCGAACCGGACAGTGTCCACAAGAAAGTGCAATGGAGAGACTTACAGAACTTTGCAAGGCCAGTGCCATGTTTTACTTAGATGGGTTATTACTAATGTAAATATTGTCGTGTACAGTTTTGTGTAATATATACATATATATTCTTCTTTAGTACGTACGAATATGTATCGTTCTTTAGATATCTTCTCTCTAGGACTAATTTTACCCTAAATATCTTCACGATATCCTACGTAGAAACACTTAATTCAAAGTTGTGTATACAAACAAGCATTAATAAATAGCGAATTCTTTCATTTTGAAAGAAAAAATGATCAGATTGAGAAGAATTCTAAAAAACAAAATTCTGAGTTTAAGAATTTGTTGATCTACGTCTCCAACTGGTTATTTCAATAAAATTATAATCAAATCTTAAATTTCTCATCGTTTATCTAGACTTCATTTCTTAGGTTGTTGTCTGTTTCAGAGAAAAGCCAAACTGGGTTAACTGTTGTGTCCACCGCTGGGAATCAAACATCGGACTGTAGCGTTGTAAGTCCGTAACTTATCACTGTCCCACCGGAGGTGGGAAACTTCGTTTCTCAGGATTCACTAGAAACATGCGTTTAGTGTCGACCGCTGGGAATCAAACACCGGACTGTAGCGTTGTAAGTCCGTAACTTATCACTGTCCCACCGGAGGTGGGGGACTTCGTTTCTCAGGATTCACTAGAAACATGCGTTTTGTGTCCACCGCTGGAAATCAAACACCGGACTGTAGCGTTGTAAGTCCGTAGCTTATCACTGTCCCACCGGAGGTGGGAAACTTCGTTTCTCAGGATTCACTAGAAACATGCGTTTTGCTTCATACTCTGTGAAGTTTCTATATAAGTAAAGATTTTAATAATAAATTGTCTTAAGTAATAACGTACGTTCTGTGTGTTGTGTTACTTTACTCAAAAATAGGAGGGGTAAAGAAATTAAAACACTCTTTAAAATTTAAGTATTTGAAACTTTGAAACAAATCTATCGGTACTACAGCCCGTAGTCGATTACATCCTATAAAAACATGTAAGTTTTCGTAAGGTGTCCCTCAAGTAAAACTTCCTGCAAAGCTTCTGATAGCGATGTCACGTTGTATCACAGAAAACTTCCAACAAAGCTTCTGATAGTGATGTCACGTTGTATCACGGAAAACTATCCAACAAAGCTTCTGATAGTGATGTCACGGTGTATCACGGAAAACTATCCAACAAAGCTTCTGATAGCGATGTCACGGTGTATCACGGAAAACTTCCAGCAAAGCTTCTGATAGCGATGTCACGTTGTATCACGGAAAACTATCCGACAAAGCTTCTGATAGTGATGTCACGTTGTATCACGGAAAACTTCCAACAAAGCTTCTGATAGCGATGTCACGGTGTATCACGGAAAACTTCCAGCAAAGCTTCTGATAGCGATGTCACGTTGTATCACGGAAAACTATCCAACAAAGCTTCTGATAGCGATGTCACGTTGTATCAAAATTTTGCTGCTTTTCTGAGAAAAGTTTTTTCTTTTTGCTTTATAAACATATTTATGTTTTCGTTGATTCATAGTTTAAACTAACTAGTTCCAACTAACGAGTTCCTGATGTGTTTTATATAGATATATGTCCAGACGTAACAGAAACATTAATTGTTGCATTTATTAAGCTACGATGAAAGTGCTCTAATGTATATTTAACAAAAACTTTGATTGGTGCATTTGTTAAGCTCAGATTAAAATACTCGAATGTATATGTAACAGAAATTTTGATTGGTGCATTTATTAATCTGGAATGAAAATACTCTACTGTTTACTTAACAAAAACATAGATTGGTTCATTTGTTAAGCTAAGATGGAAGTACTCTAATGTACATGTAACAGAAATTTTGATTGGCGAATTCATTATTTTGGGAATAAATACTGCAATGCATATTATTCGGATGGAACGATTTACAGTTAGCATCAATTTCACACTGGACCAGTATCTCCTGTTTCATATACAGGCTCCAAACAAAGCATTTTTGATTCTGTAAAACAACAGTAACAGAGTTTTAAGGGTGTGTACCCGTATTTTAAAACATTCTCAAGTAAACACAGTTACAGCTGTGAAACAATCGTCATTCTTACAACTCATTGGTATCCATCACCATTTGTTTCATTTGTCATCAAGCAATGTACCATCAACATCTAGTTCACTGTAGTTCATCAAACAATGTACCATCAACATCTAGTCCACTGTAGTTCGTCAAACAATCTATCCCCAACATCTAGTCCACTGTAGTTCATCAAACAATGCATCACCAACATCTAGCCCACTGTAGTTCATCAAACAATGTATCACCAACATCTAGCCCACTGTAGTTCATCAAACAATGTACCACAAACATCTAGTCCACTGTAGTTCATCAAACAATGTATCACCAACATTTAGTCCACTGTAGTTCATCAAACAATGTACCACAAACATCTAGTCCACTGTAGTTCATCAAACAATGTATCATCAACATCTAGTCCACTGTAGTTCATCAAACAATGTACCATCAACATCTAGTCCACTGTAGTTCATCAAACAATGTACCACC